CAGGTCCTATACCTGGGTCAGGCGGGACGCACAGGTGACCTGCACGGTCAGCACTAGTAGGCAATGCATACATGGCAGTGAGAATAGCATCATAGTCAAGAGCATATATATCTACCCTCTGCCTAAGCAACTCCACCCAGTCGGGAAGCTCAGCCTCGTCGCCAAACACGGTACGCCAGGCGTCGCTCAGACGGGCGAAGCAGCGGGACGGTGTATGACTACGTGTCCCACAAGGCTGACCAGTCCGAGTACCAGTGCGAATCACGTAAGAGCAGCGAACAGCACTGAGAGACCCTCCACTCTGAGCGTACCACTCACGAAGCTGGCGAGGCGTGAGAGACACGCGAGAGGGTCGCGGGAGCTGCATCTGGCCGCCACCACGAGTAGAAGCAGCAGGAGTGGTAGTAGGAGTAGCGTCGCCACCCCTACAGCCCCAACCAGCGTACCACTCACGCAGCTGCTGCGGCGTGAGGGACTCACGCCGGCGTCGCTGGGGCTGCATTTGGCTCCGCAAGTAGAAGCAGGAGCAGGACTAGCAGCAGGGAGGCAGGCAGTCAGGCAAGCCAAAAGGCAGGCAGGCAGGCAAGCAGGCGACGCGCAGCGTGCTAGCAGGGCAAGAGCTCACCAGTGGTGGGAAGAGTAGGTTCGGCGACTCAACGGCTCGGCAGCTCGGCGGCTCGGCGGCTCGGGCGACTCGGGCGGCTCGGCGGCAAGGCGGCTCGGCAGCAACTGCAGCTCAGCAGCTCAGCGACCCGGCGGCTCGGCGGCAGGGCGGCTCGGCTGTGGGGCGGCTCGGCTGCTGCAGGGGAGATGAAGGAGGAGGAGAAGCAGGGGAGGCCACACACCTGCCACCCCTCGACAGGCGACGGGAAAAGGGGGGGGTGGGTGGTGGGGGGCCGGTAGGTGCAGCGGCGGGGCCAGCAGGTGCAGTTGCGGGGCCGGTAGAAGGGGACGGCAGGAGCCGTCAGGAGGGGACGGCGGGGCCGTCAGGAAGGGACGGCGGGGCCGTCAGGAGGTGACCGGGCCGCGACGGGGGCAGGCGGCGGGGCCGCGTAAGGGCCTGGGCGGGGCCGCGACAGAGCCGTCGGCGGGGCCACGTGAAAGCCGGGGCGGGGCCGCGTAGAAGCCGGGGCGGGGCCGCGCGAGAGCAGGCGGCGGGGCCGCGAAGGAGCCGGGGCGGGGCCGCGTGAAAGCAGGCGGCGGAGCCGCGTAAGGGCCTGGGCGGGGCCGCGACAAAGCCGTCGGCGGGGCCGCGTGAAAGCCGGGGCGGGGCCGCGTAGAAGCCGGGGCGGGGCCGCGCGAGAGCAGGCGGCGGGGCCGCGAAGGAGCCGGGGCGGGGCCGCGTGAGAGCAGGCGGCGGAGCCGCGTAAGGGCCTGGGCGGGGCCGCGACAAAGCCGTCGGCGGGGCCGCGTGAAAGCCGGGGCGGGGCCGCGTAGAAGCCGGGGCGGGGCCGCGCGAGAGCAGGCGGCGGGGCCGCGAAGGAGCCGGGGCGGGGCCGCGTGAGAGCAGGCAGCGGGGCCGCGACAGAGAGGGCGGCGGGGCCGCGTCAGTGAAGGCGGCGGGGCCGCAGGGGAAATGGCGACCCGAGGGGTCGCTAAAAAAAAGATCGCGCCTCGGGGGGCGCTTCGGTGGGCCCAAAAAAAAACGGTCCGTAGAAGGACCCGCTCTATACCATGTGAGAATAAGCGAACAGGAATGAATGAACTAGCAGTGAAATGAGTACAAGTAGGAAACCCTAGAATTGTGTACACCCTATAGGCTAACCCACTGTAGCCTACACAAGCATAACATATATAATGTTTGACATTCATATCGTTTATATTTCATTGAATCTTCTTGATAGCTTAATCGCAAGTGATTACGTAATCTCATGATTGTAAATAATATGGTCTATCATTTAGAAACTGGAAGAAAATTAGAACCCCCCTAGCATAGCATTGTCAGAATGCTATAATTGTCTAGCCTGCAGTGGGGTACTCTATAGCGAGTACAACCCAATTAGGGTTTCCTATTTGTATGCCAACTGCTGCTAGTGCAAATCCTCCTTTCTTCATTCTCACTTTTCTACTGCTAGTTCTGACAAGCATCAACCCCTAAACATTATGCGACCAGGCATTTAGGGTTGATGACATCCTGACTGGATGCCTTTCAGTAGAAGGATTATTTGTAATTGCCCTCGGGTCGCAAGCTCCGGTGGGCGGTGTCGTTTGTCCAAACAATTCTGAGGAGATAGGCTGACGTGAAAATTATTATAAGAGTATTGTATGTAACTGACGGCTAATGTTACTATATTACGGTGAGATTATTCTGATTCTGTATATTCTATCCGCTGTTTATGTCAGATTATGATGCTTGTCTAGTCTGTAGTGAGGTCCTCAAAAGTGAGTATAACCCTTTTGGGCTTGCTACTTGTATCCCTCTCCTTTCTAGTTCAATCATCCTCCTTCTCAACTCTCTCGACACTTCTCCTCACCCTCGAACTCAACTACCAAGTCAACTAAACCCATGGCTCCTAAGCCTACTAATACTTAGTCTCTCTACATGCTATCAGAGCTAAACGCTCCTGGCCTGTGGGCCCACCTGCTTCCGCTGCCCTACTGTGTGTCGCGCGCCCCGTAGCGCGCGACCTCCTATTTATCTTCCCGCCACGCGCTCGGGGCGCGTGGCGGTTTTCTGCCCGCCGTGCGCCCCGAGGCGCGCGGCGGGTTCCTACTTCGTGCGGTGCCCTGCGGGTCCGCGCGCCGGCCCCTCCCGTCACCTCGTCGCGGCGTCTTGGGGGCCCGCGCGCCGGCCTTGACCGTCGCCTCGTCGCGGCGTTTTGGGGGCCCGCACGCAGGCCTCTCCCGTCGCCTCGTCGCGGCGCTTTCGGGGCCCGCGAGCCGGCCCCTCCCGTCGCCTCGTCGCGGCGTCTTGGGGGCCCGCGCGCGGTCCCCTCCCGTCGCCCGTCAAGGCGCTCTCGGGGGCCCGCGGGGCCCCCCTAGCTCGTCGCCTGTCAGGGCGCCCTGGGAGCCGCGCCCTTCCCCTCCCCTCCCTCCTACTTTTCACCTGCAGCAACCGCCCCTGGAGCAGCCCGCACCTGCTGCAGCCGCCCCTGGAGCAGCCCTCACTTGCAGCAGCCGCCCTTGGAGCAGCCAGCAACTGCATCAGCCGCCCCTGGAGCAGCCCGCAACTGCAGCAGCCGCCCCTGGAGCAGCCCGCACCTGCACCAGCCGCCCCTGGAGCAGCCCTCAACTGCAGCGGCCGCCCCTGGAGCAGCCTGCACCTGCACCAGCCGCCCCTGGAGCAGCCCGCACCTGCAGCCCGTCCTCCCCCCCCCCCCCCCCCCCTCCCCGTGCATTCCGTGGTGCTGGGGGTGTGGGGTGCCGAGCATGGGGGTGGCGGGTGTGGGGGTGGCGGTTATGTGTTCCTCCCCTTGCTCCTCCTCCTCCCTCGTCTCCCACTGCTGCAGTTGTCGCTGAGGGGGGTGGGTGTGTGGGAGCCTAGGATTTAGGGTTTAAGGGGGGTGCTGTGGGAGTGGAGCTAGGGTTTGAACAAGGGGTGTGTGAGAGGGGAGTGGGGCAGCTGGGGGAGGTTGTGTGAAGGTAGCTGTCGTATCGCCTGCAGCGCCTGTAGTCCGTCGCCGCGCGCAGGCCGTATGGGCCGCGCGCAGGCCACGACGGGCGACGGGGGGCGACGCGCGGGTCCCCGTCGCCCGTCGCAGCGCCTCCCAGGAGCGACGCGTGGTGTGACGGGGCAGAAACCCGCCGCGCTCCTCGGGGCGCACGGCGGGCAGAAAACCGCCGCGCGCCTCGGGGCACACGGCGTGCAAAAAACCGACGTGCGCCTCGGGGCGCACGGCGGGCTGAAAACCCTAATTTCGACGCCGCGCACCACGGGGCGCGCGGCGGACAGGGAGTAGCAGTAGCAGCGGAAGCAGTGAGGTGGTGGGCCCACCCACAGGATCGACCCAGGAGGGTCGACCTGCTCTGATAGCATGTCAGAATCAGCAGTAGAAAGTAAGAATGAAGAAAGGAGGGGGTTTTACTAGCAGCAGTTGGGATACATATAGCAAACCCTAACAGGGTTGTACTCGCTATAGAGCACCCCACTACAGGCTAGATAATATAACATTCTGACAGGGAGGTTGCCAAGGACAAGATCGGGGATCCTCGCGTTCGCAGGGACATAAAGATTCTGGCTCCTACCGAGCATCGGCGTTTGAGATCTGCCGTCCCGCGTGTCCCCAGTTGTGGCAGTGAACATCGGTTGCTGTTGGACTACCAGATGGTTTTAATACCCATGATATCAGAGTGAGTTTCTTGACAAGGATCCGCAACGTCTATCGATGACACCAGCTTATTTTGCTAATCCAAACTTCGATGTACCGCAGAGTCCCTATTGTTCACTCGACGGCGATCAGTCTCATGGTGCTGATGAACCCGCAAGATTTGTTAGCACATCCCCGCGGAGAGTACCGTACGCATGTGCTACACTTCGACCCTAAATCTCCAATCCCAACCCATCGCCACAGCGACCATGCCAAGGAGGTGTTCGAGTAAGTGTCACTCCTTTATCAGATGTGCGGTTTGTATGGACGCATGTTATTGATTATTTGCGACCCCCTTGCCCTGCAGCTGGCTTATTCGACAACTAGATGTGGAATACAGCTAAGGTCGCAGGGTCTCTAGCAGCCACGCCGAAGCGTTGCAGAAAGATTTGAGGGATCGCTTAGAGGAACTGATTCTAGAGGAAGGCAGGGTAAGGAGCCTCTATTTTTATGATTTAAGCGTTGTATGATATTAAGGTTGTAAAATGTTACGGGAGTGTCTGACAACCACCTTTTCACGCACATGTTGCAGATCAACAAGGTTCATGGACAGAGGCAAGTGGGTTCCGGGCTGCACGTTACCCATCTGTTCAGCAAGTTGCTGGACAAATGGGGGGATGTCATGCCGATTCAAACTGCAGAGCCGATGATCGCCTTAGGGAAGGGGAAAAAAGCGCGAAAGAAATTCGGAGTATGCTGGAGCCGACCTGCAGGGCCTTCTTTGACCTGCAAGGAGTCCAGCTCCGTCCCGCCCCGGATGCAGTCATGACGACCCATGAGGCTCGAGTGGTGGAGAGCGCACCGGTACGGTCCGGGAATACCATGGAGCCGGCGGCACAGAACAGATCCGAAGCGGTAGAGGGACAGAGGGACGTACCTGCCGCAAACCGGGACGCAAATCCAAGAGTAGGGGAAACTTCATATTCCCGCCGACCTGCACCGGGGGGTGCACTACTGAGTGGCCCGATATCAAGGTCAGCCCATGCGGACGAGCGTGTTAGGTCTGGAGTTAGGCAGCTCAGGTTTGCTGATCGGATTAGGAGGCCGCCGGAACGCGAAGCACGGACGGAGACCGACTTGGCAAGTGTAGCAGCTGAAGGCGAGGAGGGTGTAGAAGATCCACAGCTGCCAAGTCAGGTCGAACAGGCAGAGGAGCAGTGGAGGAAGGCGGCTGATGATAAGCGGATGGCCGAAGCAGAAGCCAAGAGGAGACGGGCTGAAGAGAGGCAACGGCGCCGTGATGGCGACACCGATCCTATCGTCTCTTTCCCGGGAACAGGAGACATACGTGAAGCATGGGAGCGTGGGGCACGAGCCGCTGCAAGGGCACACGTGGGAGTGGCAGGAGAGGAGCTCGCCAGCAATGTGCGGCAGCATATCGAGGAGGATAGGGGATACGCGAAAGTTTGCTTGCCCAGCGTAAAGCAGAAGGCGGCTGAAGAGGCCCGGAGAGGGGACGTCGACATGCCAGAGAATTCGGGAGAGGCGAAAAAGAAGGCGCAGAGCAACGCGGGTGCAAAGGCTCATAAGATGGCGGAGGTAGAGGCGCACCAGAAAGCAGAGGATGCGGCCCATTGGTTCGTCGATGCAGAGGCGGCACTTACGGCAGAGGACGGGGCGCCATAGGAAGCAGAGGCTGCGGCGCAGCAGAAGGTGGGTGCAAAGGCGGTCAAGAGTGCGGAGGCAGTCGCGCGTAAAGAAGCGGGTGCAGCAGCAGAGCTGACGTCGGAGGCAGTCGAGCTGCAGGTGGTGGAGGCAGTGGCGCAAAAGGAATCAGAGGCAACGGCGAGCCAGAAGGATGAGGTAGCGGCGCAGCAGAATGATGAGGCAGACGCACATAAGGAATCAGCGGCAGCAGCGCAGCAGAAGGATGAGGGTGCGGCGCCCAGGATGGTTGAGGTAGAGGCGCAGAAGGAATCAAAGGCAGCGGCGTAGCAGAAGGAGGAGGGTGCGGTGCCGAAGATGGTTGAGGCAGAGGCGCAGGAGGAATCAGAGGCAGCGGCGCAGCAGAAGGAGGAGGGTGCGGCGCCAAAGATGGTTGAGGCAAAGGCGCACAAGGAATCAGAGGCTGCGGCGCAGCAGAAGGAGGAGGGTGCGGCGCCGAAGATGGTTGAGGCACAGGCGCACAAGGAATCAGAGGCAGTGGCGAGCCAGAAGGATAAGGCAGCGGCGCTGCATATGGAGGAGGCAGACGCACATAAGGAAGGAGAGGCGCGGAATAAGGCAGAAGCAGCAGCGCGGCAGAAGGCGGAGGCAGAGGAGCAGAAAGAGGTTGCGGAAGAGGCGCTACAACTGGCTCGGGCAGAAGCGTGGAAGAAGGCTGTTGTAGAGGCGCGGCAGAAGGCTGAGGGTGAGGCGCAGAAGATGGCAAAGGCCGAGGAGCAGAAGCAGGCTGAGGCAGACGCACGTAGGAAGCCAGATGGAGAGGAGGGTTCAGATGGGAATAAAATGATACAGACAGAGGGACGGGAGACGGCGGGTGCTGAGGGGCACATCATCGCAAAGGAAGAGGGGCAGCATGACGAGGAGGCAGCGTCGCAGGTATTCGCATACTGAGAGACGCAGAGCATGGCAGAGACAGAGCATCAAAATACTATGGAGGAGGTTCGTGTGGTCCCGGAGGCTGGAGTGGGGCACTACGAGGGAGATGCGCTGGAAACAGAAGAGGAGCAGAATGAGGAGGATACGGAACATCCGGCAGTCCGGATATTTTTGGGAGGAAGTCTGACGCGGGGACCAGGAACCGGGGTAGAGGGGCCATGGAGGGTGGCAGACGATGGGGCACCTAGGGATACAGTGGATCTCAAAAGGCAGAGGCGGCCTACCCTTCACCAGAGAGCAGTGGAGAGGAATCTCGACCAAGGCGGGGTGGCAGAAGCGTTTTCGTAGGTAGAGTGGGTCGAGGCAGAGACGGCAATACGGCGGATGCTGCAGCGCACGAGTACAGTCCTGGTCGAACAAGGTGACAGGTTTGTCGAGGCCGAAAGCTGGGACATAAGCCCGGCAGAGGTAACGCGTCGTCTGACGCTCTTAGCCCGAATGGTGACGCAAACGTCCTGCAACTTGGCGGCCCGCAACAGTAGCATCAGTCGCGACGTGGCCGATCTGACCGTCCATTACTGCCGCGACGCCTTGGCCAACCTGGAAGAAGTCCACCATGGAAACGAGGAACGGCGGCGCCAAGCTGAAACGGCGGCCAGGTTTCGCGAGCAGGTGGACACGAGACTCTCCAACTTGCAGGAGAGTATCGTAAGGGTGAGTGATCAGGTTTGCCAGTCGGGAGGGGGGATAACGGAGGGCACGTTAAAGGGGGTGGAAGAGAGGTTGAGAGAGGTTCTGAGAGAAGACTCTGAGCGGCGGAACAGGGATAGACTGCAGGACGAGGAGCGGAGGCAGAAGGCCACGAGGAAGGAAGCAGACGCCGCAGAGAGACGGAAGAAGGAACAACAGCAGGAGGAAGAGCGTCGGCAGAGGGAGATGAGAGAGGGAATGAAGGAGATGAAGGAGGCGATGATGAGGGAGATGAAGGCAGAAATGGAGATGAAGGATGGGATGGTAAACCAGATTGTGGGGAGGTTGAGCGCGGTTTTGCGAGAAGAATCCGAGCGGCAGAAGAAGGCGAGGCAAGAGGACGCGGAGCGGCGACAACAGCAGGACGCGAAGAGGAAACAAGTGGGATGACGAGGAGAGACAGAAAAAGAAACAACTGGACGAGCAATGGCGGAAGGAGGAGGAGGAGAAGAGGAAGGATGTAGAGGCCACAGAGCGGCGGAGGAAGAAGAAACATCAGGAGGAAGAGCGACGGCAGAAGGAGGTGGAGGCGGGAATGAAGGAAGTGATGGAGGCTGTGAAGGAGATGAAGACGGGGATGAAGGGGTGGAAGGAGGGGATGCTAAGTGAGGTAGAAAGGCAGCTGTCAGTAGTTCCGAGATTGGACGCAGAGCGGCGGCAAAAGGAGGAGCAGGGTAGGAAGGCAACGGAGGGAGATCGGCGACAGAAGGAGGATGCGCAGAGGAAGGAGGCTGAGGAGGACGATCGGGAGGAAAGGGAGAAACAACAGGAGAAGGAGCACCAGCAAAATGAGGAGGCGCAGAGGAAGGAGGCATAGGAAGCAGAGCAGGTGTAGAGGGAGAAACAGCAGGAGATGGCGCGCCTGCAGAAGGAGGAGGCGCAGTAGAAAGATGCAGAGGAGGCCGAGAGGCAGGAGAGGGAGAAACAGCAGGAGATGGCACGCTTGCAGAAGGAGGCGCAAAAGAAGGAGGCAGAGGGCGAAACAGCAGGAGATGGAGCGCCTGCAGAAGAGGGAGCAGTGCCGAGCAGAGAAGAGGGCTAGACTTGCATCCTACGCGGAACAGCAGCGGCAACTAGAGGCAAAGGCAAAGGCGATGGTTGAAGAGACGGAACGATTGGCAAGGGAGATGGAAGAGGAGGATTTGACCATGCACGGGGAGGAAATAGCTGAGGGCCTGGGGAGTTTGCTGTTGATTGAGAGCGGGGAGGCGAATGTAGCAGAGGGCGTGGCTATTGTTCCCGGACAGAACGTAGAGGTGTCCAGGAGGCGGCCTAGACAGGAGGACAGGGAGCCAGAGGGTCATGCGGCTAAGAGACGGCGTGCAGCTGGTATACAGGAGTTGATACCGATAATCCCAGGGGAAAAGAAAGGGATGAAGATCGACAAGTGTGACAACAGGAAAAACGCCTTAGTGGACGACAAGGGTAAGACTTTGGGTGTCTGCCTGCCGTTCAAGGGAAGCGGGTTCTCTCAACGGGGTGAGGGAGCTTTGCAAAAGTGGACGTCTGAACAGACCGTCGGCGGCCGGAAGCGGAACCTCGGCTCTCACAAAACGGTGTGGGAGAGGGCATACACGGTCGCAGTCTGCTGGAAGTTATACTTCCCGGATATTGACATGCAGGCATACGGCATGAATCCAAACTGTATTAACAAGTGGCAGGAAGACCTCGACTTCACAACGTGGCTTCCAACAGGGGTGTGGAGCGTCATCAACGAGCTCCACCTGGATAAACCGGATAGGTGAGTGTTTATGTGATGGACAGTTGCAACTTATAAACACCGGCGAAGTTCAATGGTTCTGATCTTGCGACACTGGTGTCTTGTGTAGATTCTCACTCGTTCAAACCAACATGGCTCTTCAGCTGCAGCAGGGGGATGGCTTTCAGGTAGCTGCCTGCGCTGGTGTCGGAATAACTGCGTAGCAGAAGATGGTGGGAGGCGTGGAGGGGGAAAACGGCTATTCGACGGAAGAACACGCAGTCGGACTTGCCGCCACGTTGTCTGTAATGTGGGTCGCATCCACGAATGTGGACCAAACCCAGTGGGAGACGGGCGCAACATCAGCTGCACGTGGAACTTCTACGGCCATAGAATCTTCTGCTGCCAGATCGTCCACTGCTGCCACCGCCGCATCGGCTGCCTCGTCATCTTCTGCGGCCGATGTGTCCTCTGACGTCCTCGATGCCCTTGCGACGCTTGCAGCCTCGGTTGCTTGCGTTGCGGTTGAGGCGATGAGGTCGGTCAAGGATCAGGAGCATGACAAGGAAGCGTGGATTCTGCCCCTGTCAGATGCGCTGCTGAAAGCGCTTCCGGCAGAGTCGCGAGCGGCCGGGGATACGAAGCAGATGACGAGGGTGGTGGCAAAGGTGGTGACCTCTTGGTGCCTATGCAGCATGGCATCAAGAGGCCTTCGCCAACACCAGGGCGCCTGCCTCGGAGTCCTGCAAATGAAGATGGGCGGCCGGGATTGTGAAGAAATGAGGAATGAACAAACTAGCAAGCAGGTGGGTACAAGTAGGAAAACCTAGAAGTGTTGTACCCCATATTGTCTACCCCACTACAGCCTACAAAGACTATAGCATAAGAGTTTGACACACCCCCATAGGCAAAGTGGGGGAGAACAAGAGGTTACAAGACCAGTCAAGCAAAGCAAAGCAAGCTCAGGGTGGATCACAACGTCACCACATAGTCCGAGCATAAGAAGAAGGCCACAAGGCCAGTTCACATGCAGGAATATATATAAAGGTAAACAAGCAAGTGCAGGTATAACTAGATCACAGTAAAAGCAAGGTCAATAAGTGAGCAAGTGAGGCCAAGTAGGCACAAGACCTAGCATCGTACAGAAGCGCTGATGATCACAAGGCAGAAGTGCCTTGGTAAAGATATCAGCAGTGTTGGCCTCAGAGGCCACGTAAGCAAGGCGCAGCTGACCACGCTGATGCAGCTCACGAGCAAGGAAGTAGCGAAGAGCAATGTGCTTTGTTCTGTGCTCCAGTCTGTGCTCCCGACACAAGGCCAGCATGGCCTTGTTGTCTACGTACAGAACTAGAGGAGAACAAGGCGGCTCTCCTAGGTCAGTCAGCAGGTAGGTGAGCCAGCGTAGCTCCTGTGCAGCCATGGCCCCCGCGTAGATCTCAGCCTCACAGCTGGAGCCGAGAACAGAAGACGAGCGGGTAGACCGCCACGAGACAAAGCCAGAGCCAAGGCTCAAGGTGTAACCCTGTGACGACCGCTGCAGAGCCTGGTCGTCAGCCCAAGAAGCGTCTGCGTGACCTGTGAGGACCACTCGACGTCGCCCTCCAAGCACTAGCCCCATGCCCGACGTACTGCACAAGTAGCGCAACACCCTCTTCGCTGCAGCCATGTGCTCTGGTCGGTGTCTCCCAGGAGCAACATAGCGTGCCAAGATGCTAAGAGGGTATGCTAGGTCAGGTCGTGTGCAGGTCATCAAGTACATGAGGCAGCCAACAAGCTCTGGGTACGGGCCACTCGGCTCTACGGACTCATCCGAAGGCAGAGCTGAGAGCGAGTGGCGAGTAGACAGAGGAGTGGCCTTAGGCAAGGAGTACGTGAAGTTGAAGCGCTGAAGGACCTGCTGCATCATGTGTGACTGAGTCAGGGTAATGGTGCGCTGTGCTCTGTCCCGGGTGATCTGCAAGCCAAGGTAGCTGCGCAGTTCACCCAGGTCTGTGCACGTGTGTCTGATCTGCAACTCAGACTTCACGTGGGCAAGTCCAGCAGTGTCAGCAGTGGCAAAGACCAAGTCGTCGACGTACACGAGGATGTAGAACGGCGGCAAAGAGGTGTCGGTGCGCAGAAACAGCGACGGGTCGGCAATAGAAGGAGCAAACCCAAGATCCGCAAGTGTAGTCCTCAGTGTGTCGTGCCACTCACGCGGCGCCTGGCGGAGACCATAGACTGGCCGCCGGAGGCTCCAATGGGTACCAGGAGGAAACGACCCAGTGAAGCCAGGTGGGCGGCGCAACCACATCTCCTCGTGCAGGCTGCCCTGCAGGAAGCTGTGCTGAAGTCAAGAGAGTGAAGCTCGTAGTCGCGCTGAGCGGCTATGTGCAGCAGCACCCGAAGAGTGGTCATCTTCGGGGTGGGAGAGAAGGTCTGAAAGTAGTCAACTCCCTGCCGCTGACTGAAGCCTCGAGCCACGTAACGCGCCTTGAAGACAGGCGGAGAACCCGGCAGCCTCTTCACCCTGAAAATCCACATGCCACTATCGATGTTTGCCCCAGGTGGGGGAACCTCGTCGACGTAGGTGCCTGTGGACTTCCAGGAAGCCATCTCTGCGTCCATGGCTGACTGCCACTGTGAGGAGTAGGGACCCTCGATCGCCTCAGCGTACGATCGAGGAGTCGGGATGTCTGGTGCATCCAGGTCTCCCTCAGGGGCAATCAGCGAGGACACAAGATGAGGCAAAGCAGCAGCAAAACACTGGAACTCCAACTGCATGTCCTCAAGGACGTCCGTGCTAAGAGCACACTCACCCCCGACGGACGGAGGACAGACAGACTCAGACTCAGCAACAAGACTAGCAGCGTAGTCTAGACGACAGTGAGCAGGAAAGTCGACAAGCTCAGCAACTAAGGCAGACGCAGCACTGGACTCAAAGGAAGGGTCAGTGACAACAGTAGCCAAGAGACGCGTGAAAGTAGGACTGGCAGCACGAAGAGAGTGAAACTCCGGGTCAGCAAGGACAGGAAGAGAGGACTCTGGAGGAGACGGCAACGAGACACGCAGAGGAGAAGTGGAAGGACGCAGTGCCATCTGGTGTGTACCTGGGACCGTAGGAGGACGCGAACGCGGAGCACGTCCTCTAGTGCGAGCAACACGAACAGGCGACGCAGGACGAGACGCAGGCTCACGACGCTCAGCAAGACCTCCAATAGGACCACTGTAGGGAAAGGGAGCAGGTAAGGGGGAGGCGGGCTGTAACTATGACCGCGACTGGACAGACTGTGGACACTCTAAGGGAGGAGCAGGACCAGTAGAGGGCGGTAGACCAAGAACCTGCTCAAGGAGCGGAACAAAGTAAGGCCGCGGCCGCGCAGCGCCTCCAGAACCTGCAGGGACAGCACCAGTACCCCCAGCGGTAGCACCAGCGCCAACAGCACCTCCAGCTCCAACAGCGCCAACTCCAGCACCCTCATAAGCACCAGCGCCAGCAGCACCACCAGCGCCAACACCCCCAGCAACTCCAGCTCCAGCAGCTCCAGCTCCAGCAGGACCGTCAGCTCCTGTTCCGCGAGCAGCTCCAGTAGTACCTCCAGGAGGACCGACTCCAGCAGCCCAAGCAGCACCCCCAGTCCCAGCAGCTCCAGTACCGCCAGTACGAGCACCTCCAGGATCAGCAGCAACAGTAGCACCTCCAGCTCCACCAGCACGGCTCCAGCGCCGGGCAAACCACTCGCGCGGCTCCGGCGGAGAGAGTAGCTCCCGCCTCGACGAAGCACCGCCAGAGGCCACACGAGTAGACCCAGCACCCCCAAGCTCCGCACCCCCAGGCTCCGCACCGCCAGGCTCTGCACCCCCAGGCTCAGCACCCCCAGACTCAGCACCCCCAGGCTCAGCACCCCTAGACTCAGCACCCCCAAGCTCCGCACCCCCAGGCTCAGCACCCCCAGACACGGCACCCAGAGGCTCGGCACCCCTAGCAGCACCAGAGTCAACAGCTACCTCAACAAGCTCGACTGCGTCTACCTGGGACACACCTGACGGGGCAGGACCCTGAGGGGGGAGGGGGTCTACCGGGGGAGGACCTGGCGCAAGGAAGAGCGGCGGCGGGGGGAGGGGCACAGTGCGGTAGGGGAAGAGACGATAGTAAGGCACCGACTCGTCAAACGTGACATCCTGGTAGGACAGAACACGGCGCGAGGTGGGGTGGTAAAACTGCCAACCAGGCGCGTCAGGGGGGAAGCCAAGGAAGACGCAGGGGACAACACGGGGGGACAGCTTGTCCGCAAACAAGGTGCGAACAAACGCCCAAGATCCCCAGACCCGAAGCGCACACGCATCGCCAACCTTACATGTCCACTGCAAATTGGGGGAGGTCTCTGGGAAGGAGACCCGGGGCTGAAGGTTGCGCTGATGTGCTGCATACTGAACCGCAAACCGCCACAGAAAATGGGGAGCAGCCGCATGGATCATGGACGTACGAGCGACGTCCATGACCATGCCAATGCGTCGCTCAGCAATCCCATTTTGCTGTGGAGGGGCCTGAAGTGTGAAGGTCTGGCGGATGCCCTGTGCACGATAGAAGGCTCCCAGACGGGCAGAGGAAAACTCCACGCCTCT